GATTGAGGTAGGAGGATCATGTGTTCAAAGTCAGCTTCAGCAATTTAGCAAGACCCTGTCTCAAAATAAAAAAAATTAAAGGGGCTGGAGATATGGCATAATGGTTAAGCTACCCTGAGCTCAATCCCCAGTCCAAAAAAAAAAAAAAAAAAATCAAGCACAAGCTGACAGATTCAAGGCCATTCTGACTTCCCCACCACCAGAGAMTCCTTATCCCCCTCTTCTCACCCCAATTCAACCTTCCTAACTCATGGCAAAGCCACTCCAGCCCAAGCACACTGCACAGTGGCAAATAAAAAAAACTGCCACAGAATTTCCTTTCCCAACAAAGGCACTCTGGTCACTGTTTGCAGAGCAGTGTTTGCTTAACACAGAAGCAGGAGGGTAAGGAAACTGGTTTGGCTGGTTTGTTGGGCAAGAGGGAGCTCAGGAGAACTTTTGAACCAAGGATATAAAACATGGGAGAGTCTCAAATTCAGACAGCACCCGGCACTCCAGAGACTCTCATATTTAATATTCATTGAGCACTTGACACACCACTGTAGGGCATGGGTAAGGGTATTCCCACTGTACAGATGAGGGCACTAAGGCTTAGAGAGGAGTGTCTTAGCCAATCAATGCCCCTCACCTGGTAAGACGCATTACCTCAAGAATCTTCTAAATTGGGGGAAGATGCCACACGGACCTTGGGGAGATGCGGAGGGTTAGAAGTAGATGAGAGAAAGGAAAAGGAAAAAAAAAAAGTGCAGAAACATCATAACTAACATAAGCTGCAGTCTAGAAAAGAGTAACTTACAAAAAAGAGAGAGAGAGATGAACAGGGATGGGGAGACCAGTGATTTCTTTTTAATTAATCAAAGATGAAAAAACACTTAAAAATGACTCACTGCCCTTCCATTTCTGGATTCAGATTGGAGGTCTCCCTTCTCTGGCCTCCACAGCTTTCAGAGGGAAGCACTGGGTGCACAGCTCCCCAGGGACACACTCAGGGCAAGTGAGTGACGGACTGGGCAAACAGCCCTCACAGCACATTTAAGAATTCCAACAGATCAATTCCTCCCTGCCCACCTACAAGCAAGCTCCAGGGCTGATCTGAGGCCACAGAGTAGAGATTGAGAGGAAAAGCATAAGCCAAGGTAGTGAGTACTTATTCATTCATCCATTCATTTGCTCAAAATATTCATTACCTGAGTGCCTTCTATGTCCTTAAGAAATTATTAGCTGCCATGTTGCTATATGTTTTTTCTTTACATTCATTCTCACCTGTATTTACGTTCAGTCTTACCTGCTTTATTCATTACTGTAACCCCAAGCTCTACCTAAAGCTGGCATAAAATAGGCATTCACATTTGTCAACTAAATAAATGTGGATACCCAGATACCCCCATCCTAGCTGGTGCCAACTAATTATTTATCAAATATGAATTAAGAGCTGGAGATATAGATCAGTGGTAGAGTGCTTGCCTAGCATGCATGAGACCCTGGGTTCATGACCTAGTACCATGAAAAAGAATGAATTTATAGATGAGGAAATTGAATTTCACAGAAGTGACATCTGAACTCACATAGCTAGTAGCTGAAATTCAAATCTGGATCTTTCCTGTACTTGCTCACTGGACTATCCTAACTTCATTCTCATCCTCCTGCCCTGAAAGGGGATGGAAGTGAGACACAGTGGACACCCCTAAAGGCCAAACCTGGACTGTGACAGGTGCCTCTAGGGGATTTTAGGGTTTTGGCAGCTGTTAAGAGATGGGGAGCTGATTGCTTCATAGGCTCTGGTTTATCTGGGGCTATACTTGGAAGGGACTGTGTAACAGACACCAAGGTGAGCATTTCGGAAGAAAAATCTTGCCCAACCCAATAAAAAGCCCGGGAGGACAAACAGGGATTTCCATAAGCACCTGGCAGAGAAGGGGGTGGGGTGGGGAGCTGCAAGTCAGCCTTCCTTAAATGGTCCTGCAGGACCTCGGACTTCTCCGCCTCCACTCCTTTGGAGACACAAAGGGAAGGGTGGGAGGCCCACTGGTCTCCTTTCCCTGTAATCTCTGTATCAGTCCTTGTCACAGACATGACTAATTGGGGAAGTTACATGTAGRAGTTTGAGGGGTGGAGAAGTGGGTGTCTGATGAAATGATCCCAAAGCAGGTTTCCATGTTTGCTTTTTTAAAGTCCACTTTAGTGAAGGGACCTGCTGTTGTTTGTACCAGCTTTCAGAAAAGAGGGGAAATGGATCTGTTTAACCCACACAGATGGGTACCTGTGAACTAGATCAATCTACCAAGCAGCTAAAGTTCACTCAAACCCAAATATGGGCCCTGTTTGTCCAAAACTAGAGAAAACAAAAGAAAACCATCAATCGAAAAGTCTGCCAGCTTTTTATTCCACCCCACATCGACTTAAAACTGTGCACTAGGCTAATAGCTCTGAGATCCCAAACTGTCTAATATCCTGGGTCTCTCAAACCAGTTTGCCCTAAGAAAAAGGAAAATAATTAGCAACTCTAAAGAATCAGTTTATAGTTGAGGGKKTTTTTTTGTTGTTGTTTGTTTGTTTTTTAAACATTCTCCACTCTAGAAACCAGAGGAAAAAAAACAAAGGAATTAACACAAGACTTCAATTATGGAGTTAATTGCATGGGGTACATGAATGACCCCAGCGAACCATACAGAAGTCCCCTCAGTTCAGTCAAAACCCTATTTGTGACACTTCACCCACCGGTTCCTTATTTGAAATCCCTGGGCAGCAAATTATTCTCGAAGCCCATGTCTAAACCTGCTGCCAATGTTCTGTCCCTTTATTTCCCTGGACTGTCTAAAGACAGCAAGGCCACCATCCTCAATTCTGACCACATCTTAAAATCACAAAGCTGGTTCCTGAAGTCAAATGCGTGATTTTACAGAAGGACTTCTGTCCTGGAGCAATCCTACATTCAACTGCTACAAGGAGATCCTACAGTATAGAATGGTAAAAAAAAGTTAAAAGTCAGGAAAACTGTGGAGTGGGGTGGGGACTGCAGTCACAAAAGGACCAGGAACCAGCCATACAAGAAGCTTGTGGAATGTGTTTCTACCAAACCACCAGCCCCAGGTCACCCTCCACCTCTCACCTAATTAGCACCATCTCTGTCATCATGATCCTGCTTGGGGTGGGGGGCATCAACACCTCAGTCCTTAGTCTACTTCACAATGGACACTAATCACCCAAATACTTTAATACCTTCCTTCTTATTTGTTCATCTTTCAAACCTCTCATTGAAAAAGAGAAAGGGAAAGAGGGAGAAAAAAACCAACTGTGGATCCTTCAGCAGATTAAATTGGTCTTCACCTGTTTCCTCACTTGCAAAATAGAATGGTTTCCACTCTCCTAAGACTAGCAGTAGCTGGGTGCAGAGGAGCATACAACCCCAGCTACTCAGGAGACTGAGGCAAGCAGATCACAAGTTCAAGACCAGCCTCAACAACTTAGCAATACCCTATCTCAAAATAAAAAAAGAAAAGGGAYSGGGAATATAGCTCAGTAATAGAGCACCCCTGGATTCAATTCCCAGGGATAGGACAAAAACAGACTAACCCTCCCTATGCACTACCAAAGGAACTGGCATGGGAATACAAAGCAATCAGCACACCTCATACATGTGCTCACACATACACCTGCCTCTCATTTCTAACCCCTGTCCTAATCTACAAGGCTGGGTCAAAACTGCCTCCTCCCAGAAGCCAGTTTCCACTGCTCATTAACACTCATCCGAACACCTCAAGCCACCCATACCCTTTCACCTCTCACTGCCCATGTCCAACAGTGCATCTAAAGGGATCCTGGGATACTCAGGAACCTGCTAGAATGTGCAATTCAGAAGACAGGGCTGGAGTGTCCCTGTCCCTACATCTCAGTTTACTCTTTGGGCAGCCAAGGCAGAACATCAAGTAGAGAGTGAACGAGTCATCACTGACCTACCCCAACATCATACAGAAAGCTGCAGACACAGATGGGTCTCAGAAAAGCAAATATGGCTATTCAATCAAACTGCAGTTTCTCTGTAAAACACACCATGCACAGTTGGAACAACTTCCAAAATTTAAGACAACAGCATGATTGCTGTGAATTTTTCACATGGCCAAAGACTATAAGAATAAACACAGTGGAAGTATTCCCTCCAGGAGGAACTATGGGAAATTTCTCTTTTAAAAGTGTTTCTTTTACTATTATTGCTGCCTAATCAACAATAATCATGAGGGAAGAGAATGTGCTTTTGATACAGAGTAAGCACCTGGGAATTAGTGAAACCAGAGGGAAACCAGCCTCTTCACTTGCTTCCAGGCCTGCCCAACAGTGAAGTGGAAAGAAGCAAACTCTAGATTATCACAGTGATAAGTCCTGAAATATATTGGGTGTTTGTATGCATTTCCATCCCCTGAGTCAGAGCTACTGTGCTTTTATTAAAAAAAAAAAAAAAAAAGGAATCATTATTCTTTAGGTAAATAGTACCTGTATCAAAATGTTTTCATCTCTATTAACAAAAGCCACAGCCCTAGAAACCAAAAGGTGGCTCTTTGGTCATCCCCTAGATGGTGCATAATGGTGCCTGGGAATCAGATCCTGATTCAGATTCCTGTTCAGATGACTCTAGGCAAGCGGAGTCACCCTCTGAGCCTCAATTTGCTCATCTATAAAACGGTAATACTTCTGTCCCACGGTCCMACCCAGCTGGTTTTTGCAATCTGAAATGATAAGACTGTCTCCAGTGGCCAGGGATATGAGAAATACTAATGTCCTCTAAATGCTCCCGCCCATCTCCAGCCCTATAAAGTTAGAGCTCAACCACAGTCCTCAACCTCGATAAAACTTTAGACCCATGCATTTGTGTAAATTCCAAGGGGGTGTTTGAGAAAGTGAGGGGAGGGTTGTCCACTCCACCCTAGGGGTGTGGAAGTGCAATTTCTAGGCACCTTCCCTACCCCTCCTCACTCAGCCCAGGGACACCTGCAGTGCGCCCTCACCTCTGCCCAGGATGCGGCCTCTCTCCAGGTGCCGCCGAGGCACAGTGAACGTGTAGCTCTCAGCGCTAAAGCCGGGATGGCAGGACTCCGGCTCCTGGCAGAGCCATGGTGAAACCTGGAGTGAACAAAAAGTACCGAACCCGTGTGACTTGGGGGTTCCCTCCCGCCCACACCGAAACCAACAACCCCGCTGCCTCTCCCTGGCTCGCGGCGTAGGGATTGTGGGAGGCACCCCCACCCCGGGCAGGCACCGACGTCATCCTCTCCTATCCCGAAACCTGCAGCTAAGCCCCCACGAACTCCGGGGAGAGGAGGACACTGGGTCATCTCCTGACAATCTTTCTCGTCTTCTTTTTTATCTCATTGGAGTCGTCTTTACTCTTCTCGACCCTACTTTCCTTAGACCGGGAGCGCTCTTGATTCCACTTCCTCATACCCAGGGCGCTCTGACACCTTTGGCCCTCTTTCTTATCCCAAGGGGCCCTGGTTCCTATTTACCATCCTTTCTTTACATGGCAGGTGCCTTTATTTGTACTAATGCTCCTTTCTTTATCTGACTCCCCTTTTCTTGCACCGTGACTCCCCTTGTCCACACCCCGACCTCCATCCTGTTTCACATCCCCAAAGCCCGCCCCAAATTCATTCAGCGGCCAACCCGGAGTAAGTACCCGGAGTTTGCAGCTTGGCGCGCCCCCCACCAGGGTATTGGCAGGAGGGGGAGGGAAAAGTCCCGCTCTCCCTCCTCCCTCTCCCAGTCACATCTCGGCGGAATCGAGAGCTCCGCGCAGCTTCCAAGCCGTTCTGGCCCTTTGGACCCAAACTTCCTTGGAAGAGGGAAACTAGGACCKCAGGAGAGAGGAAAGGACTCCGGGCTCAGCGCGGATCCTGGGGCCGGAAGGTATTCCCTCTAGTCCGGGTACTCGACTTACCTGCAGCAGCAGCAGCAGGARCGCAGAGAGGCTGCGGCACAGAGGGCCCATGGCGGGCCGTGTGGGTGCCGAGCGAAGGCGGGGGGCCGGGCGCGGTCGGGTCAGGCCGGGATGGGCCAAGCTAGAGGCTAGCTGGATYTCCGCGAACTCACAGGTGCTATGGAGGCTCCCGAAGCCACTGAGCTGGGCAGCGCTGCAGCCGCCAGGTGAGCCCGAAGGCACCACCCCCGGTGCCGCTGATTGGCTGAGGACGCACCTGCCGGTTTCAGCCAATGAGCGGYAGAGCCTTCAACTTTCTCCGCGGAAAGGGCGGACGACCCGCCCCCAGACCCGCCTCCCAGCSTAGAGGGACCTGTAGACACACTGGTCTGTAGAAAGTAGAGTCCGTGAGTTCTTATTGCGTGGTGTTCGAATCCCAGCACCGAGGGTGACCTTCTCTAAGACCTGGGATGAGAAAGGGCTTTACACTTTACCCTTTATCTGGTATCTGGTTCCTTTTTTCTTCTCTCTGTTTTTCTTTGGGATGCTGGGGATTGAACCTGGGGTGTTCTACTACTGAGCTACATCCCCAACTATTTTTGTTTTATTTTGCCAGATTGCCCAGGCAGCCCTGGAACTTGATATCCTCTGCCTCAGCTTCCTCAGTCACTGGGATTACAGGCATGAGCCACCACGCCCAGCTTTTAGGTTTGTTGGTTGGTTGTTTGGCTTCTGCTGGGGATTGAATCCAGAGGCACTCCACCACTGAGCTCTTGACCCAGTGGCTCCCCGCCCCTTTTTTGGTACTGTGGTTGAACTCGGGGCCTCTTTACCACTAAGCTACATCCCCAATACTTTATTTTTATTGTGAGGTAGTTTCACTAAATTACTAAAGCTGTTCTCGAACTTTCAGTCCTCCTGCCTCAACCTCTCCAGTCTCCAAGGATTACACGCATAGGCCATCGCACCAGCTTCTAGTTCTTTTTATAATTTTTCCCCCTCTTGGTACTGCAGATTTGGGATCTTAATACCACAGCCACCATCACCATCTCTAGAGAATTCTGTCCCTGGTAAAGTAATCTTAGGATCAAAAACAGAATAGACAGGCAAAACTTAGATCAAATAGTTTCCCTGTCTGCCTGTGGCTGGCCACTATCTGCACAATTTGGCTCTGCTGACAAGGACATCTCCCTTGCCTTCATCCAAGCACAGTCAGAACCATGAAGCAGTATGTTTCTGCCACTCCATAGCTGTGTGACCTTGAGCAAGTCAGTGTTCTCATCTGCATAAATGAATTGACTCTGGCTAATGGAAAAACAATCAYTAAACAGGGTACTTGGCATGTAGCAGCAACGGTTCAATAAATGTTTGGTGTGGACATTGTACTGTTGAAAGGCCCAACCGCATTTGCCTCCCTCATGGGGAAGGCCATRTTGAGTATTGAAGGTGAATCTGAGCCCACCCACAAGGAGTACTTTCTCCTCTGCAGAGGAGAGGTGTTGTCTCAAACCAAAACAGTTTCCTGGCAGCCCCTCCCCCCAGGCTGACCCCTTCAGTTTAATGAGTTTCCAAACACACACCCAACATTTTGGATTTCTGCATCTTGGCTCCCTCTGCCTCTTAACCCACCAGGAGGCTCAGAGGAAAAAGGCAACGGTATTTCCTTTCCCACTGAGGCTCCTGCTGGACTGTGCATTAAACAGGATAATGGAAATACAGAAAGAGGCGTTTCCCCCATGGGGCAGCCTTGTCCGTTTATTTTTTTTCCTCCCAGTTATGTAAAAATACATATTTCATACCATCACTGCACCCAGGGAGCCTTTGGGACTTTGCTTTCTTCTACCCAGCAAGACCTGGCCTTGTAACTCTGTGGTGACTCTCCCCATTCTTCCATTACGCTAGGATAATTCAATAAAAAGGATTTTAGAAAACAATTAGGGGCAGTGAAGACAGGTCAGGCCTGATGTGCTCTTTAGACTTCTCGGCAAGTCCTTCTCCGAGCTCCTGGAAGGGTAGCTAACCCCTGGCCATTCAGACTGAGGGAATACAGAGGGGTTCCATGTGGGGGTGGGCGCAGTGTGACTGGGCAACACAGGTAATTGCCTCTGTCCCCTCTTCTATTAAACAGAACACCTCGCTATGGGGATCAAATGGTCAGTGTGGTGAGCCTGTGCTGGTGACATTGAGCTATGCTCTCAGGGTATTGATCTCAGAATAGACCAGTGTTCAAATTCCAATGCTGCCACTATCTGGATGGCTTAAGACACTTCAATCTCCCCCAGCCCATGTTTCCTCTTCCATAAAATGGAGACCTTGATAACACTGAATTCACAATCTTTTTCTGAGTGTGCTCAGCACTCTTTGCCCAATACCTTTCCTTCCCAGTTTTAGGTAAAAATCCAATGTCCCCAGGAAGCCTCCCCTGCCCCAGGCTGTCCTTTCCCCCACCCCCACCGGGAAAACCTAGTGGGCTATCTCTGTTCTCAATGGGGAAAACCTTTCACACAGGAGAGTTAGTCATTTGACCCTCCAGGGTCATTTGCATTTTAAAGAGCGGGTTGGGGGCTGACTTGCTTTTTTCCAAGCTAGGAAAGCCTTGGAGCTACTCCTTCCTGGGTACTTAATCTGCTATCTGTGGATGGGCTTCTGGGGGACTTGTGAACCCCCTTGAGCTTGTATGCAACTCTGTCARTGAGGTGGGAAGGTGCTGCTTTCCTTAGCTTCTCAACCAGGGAGTAGGGAAAAAAACAAAACCCAGGAGCTGAGATCTTGGGAATTTCAGGCACCAATAGGAAAAAGACTTGTGATCCAGAGGCCCTACAGGTGCCCTTGAGATCACTCCAGAAAGATAACAGACCTTCCCACCAGGTGCCAATTGGCATACATCCCTCAACGCATTACAAACTCCAGGTTTCCTCATTGCAGATTGCTTCTCTGATGGACCTCCATTTCCCAGCTGCCCTGGTGACTGGTCTGGCGGGAGGCTAACGATTAATCCCCCAGGCAGTCTTGTGCCTTTTATCTCTGGCAAGGGGACTGTAATAATAGTATTTAGACCAGGAGAGGTGCCCCTCCCCTTGCCCTCTCCTGGGGGAGCCCAACCCCCAYCTGGCTGGACCGGAATCCCCAGGGAAATTGGAATTGCTAAGGATTATAGCAGGATCAGGCTCCTGGCTGTGGTGGGAGAGRAGGCCCCATTCCTGCTACCCTAGGGGGCCCTCCTGACACCTCTGCTGGGCCACCTGCCAGCATGCAGGGGAGGAACTGGATAAACTGCTCCAACCTCCTGTCCAACTGAGGGTAACTGATAGGTGGCCTGCCCTTTGTAGCTGAGCCTGCAGGTATGCAGTTTTATTTCAAAAGCAAAAAAAAAAAAAAAAAAAAATAGGGGTTGGGAATGTAGCTCAGTGGTAGACTGCTTGCCTAGCACATGCAAGGTCCTGATTTTGGATACCAGCACTGCAAAAAACATTTTTTTTTTAAATTTAAAAAATAGGCCCAGAGGGGCCTTGAAGCCTTAGTAGCTGGGACTACAGGCAGGGAAAACTTCCCATAGTCAGATGCAACTTAAAAATATATATATATTTTTTCAAACTGTTGATCGAATTGTCAGATGTAGGGCCAACTGTATAATGAAACCTCATGTATCTATCACCCAACTCCCAATTTTTTTTGTACTGCTGAGGATTGAACCCAGGGCCTTGTGCAAGTGAGGCAAGCACTTTATTTATTTTTTTTTGAGAGAATTTTTTTAATATTTATTTTTTAGTTTTYRGYGGACACAACATCTTTGTTTGTATGTGGTGCTGAGGATCGAACCCAGGCCGCACGCATGCCAGGCGAGCGCGCTACAGCTTGAGCCACATCCCCAACCTGAGACAAGCACTTTATCAACTGAACTATATCCTCAACCCCTTTTGTACTTTTAAGAAGTTCACAATATATAAACTTTGTACCAAATCTTGTTTCATCTTTCTTTTTCCTCCTCCTCCTTCTCTTTCTCCTCCTCCTCCTCCTCCTCCTCTTCTTCTTCTTGGGTAAATATTTATTTTTCAGAAGTAGTTGGACACAATACCTTTATTTTATTTAAATAAATAAAATAAATATTTTTATGTGGTGCTGAGGATCAAACCCAGGGCCCTGCATGTGACACCACCGCAGAGCCACACCCCCAGGCCTTGTGTCTTCTTTCTACCCCAGCATTTTTATTTTTGTTTTTACAGAAGAGTTTAAAACAAATTGAGAAAACATGTCACTTCTGCTGTAAGTATTGCATTCTGCATCTATGATCAAGACATGTTTTAATTTTTTGGTACAAGGAACTCAACCTAGGGGGCGCTTAACCACTGAGTCACATCCCTAGACTGTTTTTGTTGTTGTTGTTTTGTTTTGAGACAAGTTCTCACTAAATTTCTGAGGCTGACCTCCAACTCATGAGCCTCCTGCCTCAGGCTCTGGTATTTCCCCAGCCCCCCTCCTTTTTTTTTTTTTTTTTTTTTTGGTACTGGGGACTGAATCCAGGGGCACTGAATCACTGAGCCACATCCCCAGCCCTTTTTTGTATTTTATTTAGAGACAGTGTCTCCCTGAGTTGCTTAGGGCCTCACTAAATTGCTGAGGCTGGCTTTGAACTCATAATCTTTCTGCCTCAGTCTCCCCAGCTGAAACAATATCACTATATTCTCCAGGTTGGCCTTGAAATTGCAATCTTCCTGCCTCTCAGCCTGAAGAGTAGCTGCGATTATAGACATATGATACTGTGTTGACTTTTTTTTTTCCTGGTACCAGGGATTGAACCCAGAGGCACTTAACTACAGAACCATATCCCCAGTCCTTTTATTTTATTTTATTTTAGTTGTAGTTTGACACAATTCCTTTATTTTATATATTTATTTTTATGTGGTGCTAAGGATGGAACCCAGCACCTTGCATGTGCTAGGCAAGTGCTCTGCCACTGAGCCACAACCCCAGCCCATCCCTAGTGTTTTTTTATTTTATTTTATTTTTTTTATTTTTTATTTTTTTTTAATATTTATTTATTTATTAGCTTTTGGCGGACACAGCATCTTTGT